GATCCTTGAGGTATCACCATGGATACTCGGAGAAGGTCTCACTTAACTCCATTTCACTCTGTAAACTGTTTTCGCCCTGTCAAATAACTCTTTAACCAATCGAGGGTTGATTCCTTAATTCCGAAATGTCTTTCTAGCTTCACAATTAATGCAGCTTGTGAGACGCTATCGAAAGCTTTCCTGAAGTCGATGAACGCTACTGCTACAAATTTTCCTGAGTCAAGAGCTGATCTCCAAGATTCTGTGAGTTGAATCATCAGGTATTCCGTTGAATGCCCGGGTCGGTAGGCCCACTGCCTGTTTGAGACCAAATTGTTATCTCGAAAGACGTGTTTCACAAGGGCATCATTTACTACTGACTCCATGATTTTGCTTGGAATGTTAAGTAGGGAGACTGGGCGGTAATTTCCCCTTTCAGTTACATCATCTTTTTTGTGTATTGGTGTGAGACTTGCAATCTTCCGCTCTGAAAATACAGACTTACTTTCATAGCTGTACTGGTATAGACTCGTCAGAGTCTTACTACTTCGTAGCTCGGTAAATATCCACCATTAGCCACCTCCACTTCGGTGAATAACAAGTGTTAGATATTATCTGATCTTTCTCATCATTTTTGGGGCATGCTCAGTCGTGCGGCATGTTTTGACGACCATTAGCGTGCGATTGAAAACATTTGCTGGAACATGATGTTGCAATTGAGACTCTCCCATATTTTACTGACATCAACTTACCGGGTGTGAATGAAGGGGTTGTATTGGAAATACCTTCAGAAGGAATGAAAAAAAGGTCATGGAGAAATTTCGATTTTCGCTGTCTTATCGTAGTTCTCTATGAAGAATACAAGAAGTAAAATGGTTTGAACCTAAGAGTAACATCCGATACTGATTGTTTTACTGCTTAAATCTTAACAAAATACACATGAAAAAATTACGCGCGCCTAAATGGCCAGAAAAGAGCACATTTTTCATCCAACACAGGTGCAAAAACGTACGTAGGCGGCGGAGGGAGAGGGGCAGGGAGGGCTGAAGCCCCCCTAAACGAAAATTTGGGGGGCCTTTGCGTCTGTGGAAACCCAGTCAAATGCAAAGCTAAAAGATCGGATTGGATCGGAAAAATGAACGGTCGCAAATCTGAAAACAAGAATTCTGCTTATTCACACGTTTTGCCATTAGGTCTGAATATAATTTAATATCAGAATGCTACACCACGAATGTGCAGTAAAGAAAAGAAGTAACAAAAACATACAAGCCAAAAAACCGCAAACATTTTTACAGACATTGTTACAGTACGCATGCCTAACGTCTACACTACGAAGCTCGTCAAAATACATACTGCGCATTTTGTATTCTGCTAGAGGTTCAGCCTTGTTGCTTTTAGAAATGCCTCCAAAGCGTACCCTAGAATCGTTTTTAGGGTCACAGCCAACAAGAAGAAATGCACTTGTGACCCAGAGGAAAGTGAATTAGTTGATCCAAGGGAGGTTGCTCCAGCTGCTTCCCATGAAGACACTACGGTCAAAATTGTCAGCAGTGATCACGGAGCATCTGTTTCTCAATCATCAAGCAATCCGCCATTGACGCGCAGTGAAGTCTGTTTTGCTTTACCCCAAGAGAAACCATTTCAACCAAAGGACTTCAAAGCGAAAAACAAGGACCGCACATTTCAGGAAAGGTGGTACAGCGACTTCCCATGAATAACAGTGTGTTCAACACGTAATAAAGCTTTTTGTTATGCTTGCCGGGAAGCCAATAAAAACGGTCTCCTGAACCTTCGCAAATATGGAGATGAAGCTATTACCACATGTGGTTTCAACAACTGGAGGAAGTCGTTGGAGCAGTTTAGAAAGCATGAAGCGTCTGAGGCTCATTAAGAGGCAGTTATGAAATTTTCCTTTAAAAAGACTTCCCAGGGAGTAGATGTCATGATTTCATCTCAACTCGCAAATCTACAAGCCACTCGTCGAGCGGGCCTTTTGAAACAGATTACCTCATTGCGCTTTTTATAGGCAGGGGCCACTCAGAAGATGAAGGAAACTTACGTCAGCTTTCGAAACTAAGGACGGAAGACAGCGATACTGTTCAAGCGTGGCTGAGTGAAGAAAAATACATGTGAGACGCCATAGTCAACGAGCTAATAAACATAATGGGACAGGAGGTACTAGGGTGTATACTTCATGGTGTGAAATCGCCCAGCCCATCGTGGTATACAATTATAGCAGATAAGGCGACATAGTTAGTTAGTTATATAGGTTAGTTGATCACTCCCCATGGGGGCTTTTCAGGGCCAATTCCCACCCATCCCACCCCGGGGGAGGACATCCACCACACAGTAATCTCGTGCGTGGGAAATTAACGTCTCCTACCCCTAACCCTGCAGGAGACGGGGCCTACGGTTTATCGTCCTTATCCGAGAAGACTAGAATATCTACCATTAACATTTCCATCAGATGGGTCGACGATGAATATGCCATATTGGAAGAACCAATTAGCCTTGTGCAGTTACTCGACACGTTCGTCAACACTCTAGTCGCTTTGATAAAAGACTTGCTAAGACGCTGCAACCTCCCACTTGTCTTGTGCCTTAGTCGGGCATACGATGGAGCAGCAAATATGCAAGGACTAACGAATGGGGTGGCCACTCATTCAAACGGAAGTACCATCGGCGATACCTGTTCACTGTCTAGCACGCTGCCTCCAGTTAGTTTTGCAAGAGCCTGGCAGAAAGTGTAGAAGTTTAAAAGAGGCCCTCGAGTCGGTGAAAGAGATCGTCAAATGGGTCAAGTTGTCTCCAAAGAGATCTACGCCTTTCGCGCAAAATTTAGAGAATTATGAAGGAGGTGTAACACTGAAGCCCCTGTGCCCCACCCGTTGGACAGTCAGGACAACAGCATTCAGTGCTGTTCTTGAAGACTACGTTGTGCTTGAGCAGACAATGGAAGATATAAGCCACACCACGAACAACGAGTGTGGACAGAGGGCAAATGGAGTGATGTCGAGCCTTGATAAATTTGACTCTGTGTTTGGTCTTAAACTTGGCTATTTCTATTTAAAGCTTAGGACGCTGCAGAAGAAAGATACGAATCTGCAAGTAGCTATTACCGCTGCAAATTTAGCCATGAATTACTATACACGACTTCGCACAGATGAAGAGTTCGATAAATTTTAACAGTCATGTGTCTCCTTTTCAGAAGGTAAGTCTGGCGAACTGGTACTGCCACGATACAGAAGAGCTACCGCCAGACTTCACGATGGAGCTCCTCCTCATCGCTTTCAATGTCAAAAGGATTACTATCGAGTGCAACACTATGAAACTTGCGACAAAATTAAAACGGAATTAGAAAGCCGGTTCAACCAAGCCAAGTTAAAGCCAGTCTCTAACTTAGAGAAACTTCTTGTGGGCGCAGCAAACAGCGACGACCTCAGCGAACATTTGGAAGGGCTGCGAAGGTCTTGCTTTGGAACAAATATAGATTGTGGACGGCTTTGGCACCAGCTTTACCTCGTGCATGACGCATTGAAAACTACCTCTTCCCGAAGTAGGTTAGGTTACAAATATAAGAACCATTTCCGAAGCTTTCAACAAAACTCCTGTCACCAAAACGCTACTAGGAGAGGTCCACAAACTGCTACGATTGTATTTGACATTACCTGTGGCATCGGCCACTTCCGAGCGCTCGTTTTCTTTCCTAATTCGCCTAAAATCCTACCTCAGAAGCACCATGAATCAGGATTGTCCAAACAACTGCCTCTTCCCGCATTGTCATAAGTCTATCATGGACACATAGGACACTGTAGACGTTGCAAAGAAGTTTGTTCGTGCAAACGAACAACTCAAAAGACATTTTGGAAAATACGAGTATACTAGAGGTTGTGCTTGACTTTGTGTACGATAAACCCCCCCATGTTTCAACACGCTCCGCCGCCTCTGACGTAGAGCCAATCAGATTACAGTGGCCACAAGTGATTTCAAAAAGGATGTAATAAAGGAAATAAAATAATTATAGCAGAGGGGTAAAGGCCTCTTAAGGCACAAAGTAAAAAAGACAAAAGTAATAATCTATACCATTGCCTGTATTTTTTACTTCTCTTTGGAAAATATTCAAAATTGTTTTGGCTTCCTCAACTGAAACGTTGGCATGCAAACTAAATGAAACTTCGCAGAGAAAAAAGAAACCAAGGAATGTTTATTCGGACTGTGGAACAGGCCGGGGTATGTGCTCTTTGGCATAATCATTTATTCATATTTTAGATTGAAACAAAATTTTGGGGAAGGATCTAAAACCTACGTCACATTTAGTGATATTTCCCCTAGATCGCGAGTGTCCGTGTTGATGACACGAAAATGAGATGCGCCCGCACAAGGAAAGACCAACACTAGCTGTGAGAGTTGCGATGATAATTGTAACTATTGATGATGTCTTTCAACAGTTATCATGACTTACCAGGTGGGTAAACTTCTTTTAGATGTTTTAAGAACGCTTTGGAAATTGAAGCTTTTTTGCAAAAAGATCACTTCGATTTATTTACTTTGTTTCGAACCTGAAAGTTGAGTTCTAGTAACCCGCGAGGCGTCGATCGCAGGGCTGATATAGTGCGGCTAGAGAATTGAAAGGAAAGATCAACCTTTGCCCTTGAATTCTGCGGTGGATTTGTGGCCGTGGGTACATTTTACCTTGGGATTATTTACTTCGTTCGGCAGGCTGTCCGGACAGAAGTGTTTGGCCTTGTCTTCTCTTTAAAAAGAGAAAACCAGGATTAAAAAAAAAAACGTTTAAATCAAGTTAAATCGGTAAAATAACGACACCAGGAGCAAACAACACACGTATAGAATAAGGAAAGTCATTTTTATTTAATATTTTCACTTTTAACGATCTCCATGGACATCTTGTAGAAAATCCCATTCAAATCTTTATAAATCGATATGCAAATTGTGTTCCTTGTGTGGTTCTTAAAGAGAGCTTGGCCCACCTGTGTTCATATACACATTGTATTATAAATTCATTATCGACGTTAATTTTTATTAGAAATATGTTGTGCAGTCTCAATTGTTTTCAAGGTGATACTTTCAGCGAATCAATTACTTTGTGACTCAATTTGTAAACCTGATCTATTCTAATGTGAAATGAGCCTGCTGTAGCTTAAATCGTATGGTTTTACTAATTACACACACACTTAAACCATATTTTGATCACTTTTACAATTTTACAAAGTGATTATTATCAGAGAGATTACGTAATCTTGACATAAAATTGAGGGACGCTGCCTCTGCCAACTCTTTTCCTTCGTTGTTCTGATCTTTCTCATGAGTCTTCAATCTTGCTTGACTTTTAGTAAATTTTAAAAACCGATTCCATACAGAAAAACATGACATACTCTCCATTGAAAAGTCGAGCTGTTACTCTGAAGGTCTGCATCTAAAAGTTTCAGGGATGAGAAGGAAAGAGGATTTTCTTCAACTTAAACGCATAGATTGGTGTGTTTTTTTTGTTTGTTTGTTTGTTTGTTTGTTTGTTTCCCCATAAAAACTATAGCAGCAATGACTTGCACACTGAAAAAAATATCATCATGAACAAGTTCAGAGGCAGAGGTCAGTAGATTAAAATCCCAAGAACTTTGTGACGCTTGGCTCGTTTACATCCTTAAATCCATTGATTACCTTGAGAAATGGTGGTGCAGTCAACAATGTTAAGGAAGACGTCCATACGTAAGTTTCTGAAAGAAAAGTAAATAGACAGGTTTCACTTGGTTTTCGCCGACATCCCTGACAATGAAATTAAAGTTTTCATTTATAGTGAATTAATTATCGCTAATCATCACTTAAATCTGGAACGCGTCAGGAAATTTTTCCCTTATTTTCATAAGCTTTTGCACGAAACAACGAGTTCGAAACTAAAGGTTTTCGTTAAAATTTTGTACCTTTCGGGACGTCTACGTTGACCCATCATAAAAAGAGAAAAACGTTTCCCAAAAGGCAAATTTAAAAGAATTTGCGAAGCCTTTTTGACTCCTCATCTCATACAACAAAGATCGAGGCCGCGCGAAACAACATGCCTCATGAGCGACCTGGTACTGGCTTGGCCAATCCCAGAATTCATTCTGACCCTAGTATCAGCAAAGTGTTGTATTGACAGAAATTTCATCCGCTATAACTCAGTAGGCAAAATTCTTGAAACTTATACAGCCCCCAACTGCTCCCCAGATTTACACAACTTTCTCAGATTCTTCAGAGTGTTAAGCTGGGACTGGCGAGACTTACCACCAGCAGGTATACTGCATAGGTCTGAGGCATTATCACATAAATCGTCTTTCCTGCCTCTAAAAACCACCTTGCCGTCGAAAACAGACACTGCTTCGTATTCCGAGGTCGCGTAAACGACATCTACCGCTATTAGAAACAAGTGCTAGTTAGATATATGACACCGTAACTGGAACCCCATCAAAACGAATTATACATTTGTAATTATAGAATAAGTTGAGCTTGGTGGGAAAATAAAAAAAGAGTTTACTCGTTTGGACCTAGGCGTGAGATAAAGAGAAAATTGCATGAATAATCGAGCCTCGGCCCTTCGAAATTTGCGGTTGTATACCCAAAAGGAAGAAGTCATGTCACAAGGTTTAAAAAAATAAACGTGGTTTACTCAAAAGCTCTTACTAGTAGGGTACAAATTTAGCTGGTAGGGATAATTCCGTGGGTCAATGTATTTTTACAGTCGTTCGTTTCCAATGTTTGAGATGTATCGATCAAATAAAAAAAATCTCAGAATATATGAGATAAAAATATCATACCTTTGAAAGTGAGCATGAATGATGCTTCAAAAAACGATCGCTAGCGATCGAGTAAGTCTTTTGATGCAACGAGTAAACAGAAATCATCCACATGCACTTTCAAAGGTATGTTTTTAGCTCATGCATTCTGAGATTTTTTTGACTCGACCGATACATTTCAAAGATTGGAAACGAACGACTGAAAAAATACACTGTCCCGCGAAAACAATCAGTCCCGAAACGCGAACCGAAACGCGAACCGTTTTCCAAGAGTGAAGCTGTAGGATTCCAAGGACAAGTATACATCCATATATCTGAGCAAACTGAGAGCTACTGAATGTATTTACTCTTCAATATTTTTACTGCGCTAGAAACATAGGATACAAAGAGCTTGCGTAAAAAAACGTTTTTAAAAAACGCAGGGAAAGTTGAGTTTTCACCATTCTCTGGATGGAATCAAAGCACAAAAACTTTGTTTTACCTTTGTAGTAAAAGCTTCACCACTTAAAAATCTATTTAAGAATTTTTCTTTTTCCATACTGGAAGTAACGCTTCAAAATTGGGAAAATGTTCACCAATGATATCAGTCGATCTTCCTTATTGGGTCATGTGGCATGTTCACACCAATCATCAATAGATTATGACGTTGAGAAACCATTTCCATTCTTACTGACATGGACTTACCCGGTGTAAATGTTAAACTGACATTGAAGATTGTTCCAGAAGGAATGAAAGGCCATGGAGAAAATTTGACTTTTGCCGTCTTATCATGACTACCTGTGAAGTGTGTAAGAACAGACCAAACTTTGGTATCAGACGTCTGAATCAATACATGTTTAAGATTCAGTTGCTACTCACCACAGAAAGTCACATTTTTTATCTCTATTCCCGAGGGATATGCCGCTGATATACTGAAGACGAAAAGCAACAGATTCAAGGGGATGATTCGTGGCTGACTGTTTGAAATCATAATTATCTTCTTTAATGACAGGTGGGCAGCAAAATCTGAAAGAAAATTCTAGGAGTCGATCAAATTAGCGAGACGTAGTCTGAAAATTCAAAGGGGTAGCTTTCTTATTCATGTTTGCCTTTCGAAAGAAACAAGATATGAATAATCCAAGGTTGGATGACTTTTCCTCGTGATCTGAAAAATCTAAAATTTAAAACGTCCTAATATCACTATTATAGGTTGAACTGAATTGATTTATCGTCAAGTAGTGTTCAGCACTTCGTAACCCAAACTTGCCTAAAGAAAATAATTCTCATGCCTCAGCTATAAGACGTTTCTGAGAGAAAGAACTTTTAGGTCCCTTTGACTCGATAACGACCCTTTAAAAACGTAGACGACCGACTCTGCAAAATTATTCATGTTTATTCATCTTATTCATGTTTGCCTTTCGAAAGAAACAAGCTATGAATAATCCAAGGTTGGATGACTTTTCCTCGTGATCTGAAAAATCTAAAATTTAAAACGTCCTAATATCACTATTATAGGTTGAACTGAATTGATTTATCGTCAAGTAGTGTTCAGCACTTCGTAACCCAAACTTGCCTAAAGAAAATAATTCTCATGCCTCAGCTATAAGACGTTTCTGAGAGAAAGAACTTTTAGGTCCCTTTGACTCGATAACGACCCTTTAAAAACGTAGACGACCGACTCTGCAAAATTATCGCAAAGAAGTAAAGTACCCATAGCCAGCCGCATTTGAATAACTAATGCGGTTGCTCAATTGGCGGCTAAAATTGCCTTTTGTCGTGAGTTAAATACTTTCATCATCGGCAATGATTTGATTGAGAAAAGAAAGAAAAAATCTTAGGACAGAGACAATTTTATAATGTGGAACGAGTTATTTCCATTAGAAACCATAAACACGAGGTAAGTTAATTTACACATTTTTGCTTTTTGAACGATTTTGAAGCCTTCAGAGCCAGTAAAACAGTGGTATTGGTCTTTACTAGCTAGGTTACAAAGTTAATGATGAGAAAATTGTTGTCACGGGGTAGCGAAGGTTTCAGCTCGTTTAAAACTACAATTCAACGAGTCGACCTCGGATTTTTCTCTATGAGTCATAATCAAAATTATCAACATTTTAATCCGTTTTGCAGAACGAAGGATGCTTTGTTTGCCTTAAAACTGCTCCTGAATTTGTCATCAATCTTCGCAGAGGACGATACAATATGCGAACTAAGTAAACGAAGAGCCATGATGGACTTATACGGAATAGAAAAGGGTACTGAAGCGTATGCATAGGGAAGAAACGCTAATGCTCCATAATGAGTGGCAGAACTTTGGCACATCGCTGTCGTTTTATATTTGATGTCAGTAATATTTGGAGTATATTCTCAAGTTATCGATGTGCGGAGAAATTTCACAATTCTGCCAGACAAAGCCTTTACTAGGAAGCAATTTTTTAAGCATCTAGTAAATTACCTCAAGAGCGCATGCTTCGCAGCCGTGATGTCCTCTATTTCTGGCCATGGCTAATGTAAAAGCTAGTCAAAACCCTTACTATAGGAACAATGATAGCATGCCATTCTTCAAAATCATTGATGCCTTTTAACATCAGTAACTGAAAGAAGCTTATTCAAAAGTTAGCGTACACTTTTGGCGCATTTAAACATTTTGTTATGTTTTTTTCAAACGACGTTACGAGAAGGATTTATGACCCCCTATCGCATTTGCTTAAATAATTCCACCTTTCCCCATTTTTAGTGCTAATAACGCAAAAACTCCCCGCATAAACTGGAATACTCAGCAACACTGAGGTAGGGGCGAGGACTGTCCGGCTAAAACTTTAGAATTATGAAAAATTCAATTACTCCAATGTCTGATGACAGTCGTAACTTACTAAGAGGGATGAACCTTCAATGCCGTGTGCAACTTCTTCCAGATGTTTTAAGAACACTTGAACAGTTGAATTTTTTCTCCAAAGAGATCGCTTCTATTTGTTTGCTTAGTTGCATAAAGCCCTGTTTTGTAATCAAGATGTGTGTTTCTCAAGTATCATTTGAAAACGGGTCGAAAGTACAAATATTGCGACGATTGATAACCGAACCGGATGGAACACAAATGACTACTGACCGAGGCATGTACAGGAAGCTATAATTTAACAGATCAGTTTTGTAAATATGGTATTTAAAAATCGTTTTTCTCTCTAATATGTATGAATTACTTTCTCATTGGGTTTAAACTTCAACCATTGCATGCAGGGCTGCAAATTTTACCGTAAACCGTCCATAATTTGTCACCCAATGTTATCACCAAAATCATCCAAATAGTTCAAAAATAGTTCAAAGCTATGCTGTATCTAAATAATAGATTTAAAAATGCGCGAAACAGCGAGAAAGCGATTTTCAATCACCTTTCGATCCTTTTTCAGTAAAAAAAAATGGTTCATTTAAAGTGCAAGCAAGTTTTATATCTTCTATAATCACTCAATATTTCTCATCAAAAACAAACAGGGATGGTTCGAAGCTATGCTGTAACTAAATAATCAATTTAAAAATGCACGAGTAATTTTCAATCTGCTTTCGATCCTTTTTCAACAAACATGATTGATTTAAAGTGCAAGCAAGGTTTATAGCTTCCATTCCATCTAAAGTTTTAATTAAATATATTCAGCGCGGCCTGATTGTGGGTATCTCAAAGTGTTTTACAAACAAACTCAAGCTCTCAGAAGAGGTAAGTTGTTGGCTCCCGAGCCTTGACAATAGCGTATCTGTCTCTTTTTGATAACCTAATTTAGCGAAGGGTCTAATTTATCGGTTTTATGACCGTTTCATCTTCAATTACTGGCAGAGAAACAATACTGGGCAACAGCTTTTTTTATTTCCTAACTTGAAACAGTGAAAACTGTCAATGATACACACGAATGTCGAAAAACTTTCGCGCGAAATCTACCT